CTTAACAATGTCTACACCACTAAAAAATTTACAACTGATTTGTAGAAAACACATTTCCTGTCATATACATTGGCTTGTATATGCTGTGGCAAATGCGAAATCAAAATATAATGTGAGTCCGATTAAGATTAATATGTATTGTCGAGATACTGGGCTTTCATTGTCTGGGAAGGAGAGTGTGCACATCAGAAACTTCAGTGAAATTTGATATGCTGGAACAAGAATATATTGAGAGACCTGCACAACTTACTAATCTACCTGTGATACGACTGACTCTTCTCGCATATTATCCATCCATATTCCGCAAGTTTCTTACTCTTTTTACCATGTTCCAACCATATGTGATTGAAAATAAACGAATCAATGATTGAGAGGAGACCTGTGACCGAATGAATAGTGATGTTTGGGGCGGTTTGCCACGGGAGCGAACGTATTCTGCCGAGTTCGTGAAGAAGATGAAACCCTCATTCAAGAGAGGAAAGGACCGAATGCTAGAAGCATTGATATTTTCACACTAAAAACTAAGATACTGTGATACGTGTCAAATAAAGGGAAGGAGATGAGGTGAAAGTGGGAGTTGTAGATGAATTACTATCTCCTGCACTGTGTATACCATTTTGAAGGACTATTCTTTGTTTTTAATTGGTCACTAGGACAGTTGGTTTTTTTTCCCCAGAGACAATTGTAATACGACTCCATCCACTGGACAAGAACTTCTTGTAAGGATGTCGGCAATCATTCGCAGCTTAGATCCCTGAATACTCGACTAGATGCTCCTATCATAAAAAGACCCTTTCATAACGCTGTGGCGTTCTGTATAAAATTGTATATTACACAGGCCGTGAGCTTTTACTGCTGCTTTGTTAGAATTCACAAAAAGCGTAGCTCCCAGAGGTAATCCAGTCTTATACAAGAAGGACTATCAAATACCTCTACTCAGAAAAGTCTAAAATCTTGAACGAAAATGGAAAAAGAAGGAAAGTGAAGCAGAAAATATGCAAGCGAAACAAGTATAAAAGGGGTCCAAAATTTTCTCAGGCAAAAAATGGACCTATAAATACCGCCGGATTAGGATAGCGGCGCAATTCACTACAGAGCGCCTGCAAAGGTTGGTCATCTTCGTCTATTTTTTTCGCAGGAACATGCCGTTCCCTCAAACAATCTAGAATCACGCAGACCTTTCTCGAATGAATGATGTCTAGCCGATTAGTCACAACTCAATATTGCGCTATGCAGTCAAAAAATAATGCAGAAGGAACATGAAGATTTAGGTCTTTGCGGATAAGGAAACTCGACCGCCACCGCGCTCTGGGTCTCGATGGATTTGTTGTTGACTGAAAAACTATCGTGCAGCAGTGTTATAGTGTGGAGAGTGAGATATTTGGCAAGGAGTGGAACTTGTGGACTTATTAAGGGTAACACCCAGAAGCCCTGCTTGACACTTTGTTCCCAAACGAGCGACTTTAGAACAACGTATAGGGCGAATACAATTGTTACATCTTCCATTTTTTGAGGAGTTCCTGATAATCACTTGACGAAGACCTTAGAAGGCCGATGATGAGTGCTGGCGCCCATAATGAATATGTAAGTGGAAACCCTATGTATACGCTTTCTTCACCTGCTTGTTGTTCGTGAAAGACATATTTAAAGGTGTATCGGGCTGTATAAAAGCTCATTTAACAGACCACTTGACAAGTCGGCTCAGATGGCAAATATGAGATATGCTGAAATTTGAGCGTGGTCTTAGGAAAATACTCGAAAAAAACGGTACAATATATTTCAAAATACCAGCCGAGAGCAATCGAGTGTGCAACACTTTATATTCATTGATATTTCCACTTGATGGCCAAATTAGCGAAATTTATTGATTTGTAAATGCTCGGAAGTCACAAACTTTCGACCGCTCAATCATTAGATGTTATCAGTGTGAGGCATCGACTAATTAGTAATTTGGAGTGCCTTTCCATATCTACAAGGAGTATATTATTGATTTCAACAAACTCTAGCGGCAACGTCAACGATTGCTGGTCATCTTCAGTTACAAAACTCACCAAGGATTAAGTTTTTCATCTTTCCTCTTCCAAACTAAATTCCTACATATAATTTCCACTTGACCCACACAAGAGAAGCTCTTGAAGTCCACGTTCGAAAGATATGCTCTGACCGGAGAGCGCGTGCGGCGTAGTGGTTAGAGGTGCTCTGCGCCGCACACAAGGTCAATGCATTGATCTCGTCCCATCGCTCACCAGTTGTCCCAGTTGGGGTTGGTAAATGCCCAAGCTTGACTGCCGGTCACCACAAAGTCAGGTAATACCATCATCCTACTTTGGGTGCTTAGTTTTTACTCGGCGTCGATTTCTTCACAGGATTATTTTACCTCAAGGGATCGACGGAACCGAGGGAGGGTGCTACTGATGAGTCTCAATAGGACGAAGTAGGCGCCTATATAGCACTAGACCTATCGGCTCAAAACATGTAATATCCTTATCAGATTAAATCTATTTTTACTGGTTTTAGCAGTTGTATGATGCTTAAAGGAAAATCTAAGATTTCTCAGTGGTACACAGATAGTCGACTTCAGGGGTGAGTAGAACCCTTGTTTTATCTGTACCGCGAGCTCCTGGTAAAATTGCATCATCAAGGCCGCAGCCCAGCTTTTACTCTACCTTCTGTCTATCGTAGATGTCAACAAACCGACCCGTTGACAGATTTGGTTTAGGGAGCACATAAAAGATGAAAGATTAAGCTCTTGACGTTGATGCGTACTCGAGAGATGCACTATGCATTCCTCTTCAAATCGAACTTTGTTTGAGATGACCATATATGCATACTTGGTCTTTACAGTGAGTTGAAGTGTCCTACCAACAAAGAGGTGCGGAGGTTTAATTCAGTTTATCAGCCCTATGCAATAATTACTGCAATTTCAGGGAATTCTGACTCCTGCGATGATTTGTTGTCACCGCAGTGTGGGGTCATTTTTTCACTTTTACTTTAATAGCAAAAATCTGATAAGGTTATGACATGTTTTGAGCCGTTGAGGTTCAAATGCTAGATGGACGCCTGTTTCGTCTTACATGGACAACTCAGTAGCACAGTCCGTCGGTTCAGCCATTCCCTTGAGGCTATGGCTATTGTTTCAAGCGAGGCCTATAAAAAAGCGGTTGAGTAAAGAGGTATGATCTAGTTTAGCGGCCACAAGCTCGACTGCCATTCTGAGCTTTTGATTTACTCACAACCAGCGCTTTTCGTGAGAGAATGCATTGAATTCTTCGAATCCCTTTTCTCTTTAGCTTTTTTTCTTTAGTGACACAACACTGTTCGCTGGATGGTGGTCAAGAATTGTAGTCGACTTGTAATTACACAGTGCGAGCACAGTTTTGAAAATGCGGTATGCAAGTTGATGTGAGGTCTCTTGATGAGTCACAGATGCAGTAATCCTTCATTTCCGATGATCTTATGCAACCTAAAAGATTCGGGGTCATCAATTTGTCGACTTTTAATTTCACATCTATTTACCACGATCCAACATCTGCACTGTCAGTTTTCACGTCACAGTAATAATAATCTGTCCATACAATGGCACGTTACAGCAGGATTCTTTCAAAGATTTATTAAGTAGCTTCTTCACTAGGTAAATTCGTTCTTCGTCGTTTCATCTGATAACGAATAGCTCGTCAACCTCTTCTACGAAATCAAGTATAAGCTTGTTTTTCGAAGGCTACTACCCGATAGCAAGTAATCCAATCCTTTGATCCACCGGCACCTCCAGGATACATGGGATCTCACCTATGGTAAGAGTTCAATTGCCTATGCATATCCTTAAAAATCTCGCGTGCCTTCAAAGCTTGTTGTGCTTGTGCCGCGTGCTTTGTCATCACTTGTCTATCAAAGCTATTTTTATTCAATTACAAAAGGTTGATACTTATTATTCACAGGCATTATTTGTGAGTTGGTTAAAATAAGACTTAACTGAATGAACTGATTTATCTCAAATCAATGAAGAAAGGGCACAGCTCTTGGCATTGATCAATCCCTGAGGCATGCGCCCTGCATTCACCTTGAATTTTTAATTTCGTTTGAGGTGATTGAATGCCTGTCTGATCTTTACAATGACTCGCGGTTGCCTCCCGCTGTACCGAGTCAGTGCTGCATATGCTCCCACACAAGTCTGAGACCAGTCTCGTACCAATTTAACTAGTTCAGAGAGATGGATGGCTTGATGAGCCATGAGCACGAGATTGAACCTTTGAAGTGCCACATGCGCTCTATTCAAATCAAAGGTGATTCAAAATCTAGATCTATCGCACTACTGGAGTTGAAGACGACATATTCAACAAAAAGCCATCCCTTCGCCGCGATCGTTCACCTCTATTGAGTTCACTGTAGCACCAACACACAGCTTCACGATAATAAGACGAGTGGTGTTGTCGGCAAACACTTTTCACCACTTTTATGTTTTATATTCTATAAACCCGTATACAGTTCCGACTCTTTAAATCACTATTCTGCAAAAGGAGTGTGACTTGTCATGTGGTTGACTCAAATAATAATGAAAGAATCTACTGAAATTTGACCGTGGTCTTAACAAAGCAATCGAAATAAAGGTATAATATGATGAAAAATTCCAGCCAAAGTGCAGTCGAGTGCGCAACACTCTGAGTTAGGTGAAAATATCACTTGACATAGATTTTAAAACGTTCGTCTTTGATAACTCTCTGTATGGGAGAGCTGGGCTCCCAAGAGAACTGACTATAAAAAGATCGAAAGACGAGGGTTCTGCACAACTGACAAGTCTGTAATGACGAAACACGTGTATCGGGCTGTACTAGTGCCCTTATCGAACCACATGACAAGTTGGCTCGAATAATAATGAAAAGAGCGATTTTTGTTTATTTTAACGCAGTGCTTATTTTTTAGAAAGATCGTTCATCTACACTACTACAAGAAAAATAAAATTGATTCAGTAATCTCAATAATGTAGGGTGGAATACAAAAACATTTGCGTCACCTGGGATTCGAACCCAGATCTCACTCTTTCTGGTAGCGCATGCTAAACCGCTGCACTACTGACGCTTTTGAAGTAATTGATTCATATACGCAAAAAAGTATTTTTGGCTGATCCACGTGGTGGTGGGAGGCAGCGCAAGGGCGAATGCGGTCGTTTTCGCGCAATCATCGGTCTATTCGCGCTTTGGGGGTGACACATCTTTCCTGCTGCACTGCAGAGAAACGGTCTTTCGAGAAAATAAGCACACTGCTAAAATTAGAAAATATAACGCTATTGAATAATTACTATGTTCCAAAGAAAGAGCTCTGTGCAGTGAGGTGTAGAACAAGAATCTTTTGCTTCTCTTACAGCGCTAAGAAAGAGATTTCCAAAAAGCCAACATATTTTTGAGTTCCTCGAATCTTGTACCATCGAATGAGTACTAGTACTTTAAGGAAAGAGTTTCGTCTAGCAAAATATGAGCGAGATAAGGAAAAAACGTATGGACATGTGGAACACATATTTATCTTAGTGTTACATCATTGTAAAACGGTACTTCAAGAAAACAGGTTACGAAGTGCTTTACTTAGAAATCTAAGCCATGGAATGATTGCTAGCACTCCTATGAAAGGATTCTGTCTAGGAATGAGGCTTGGATATTTCTTTGTCTCCTATAATAGAAAAGAGCTGGTTTTATTTCGACCTAGAGGCGGGGAACGCAGATATGGTAATACTGACCACCGCTAGCGTTGTGTTAGCTTCACGTCGACCCTGTTCAGCATGCCTTTTATTTCCTCCTAAGCAACAGCAATTTGTCCCAAGTCATCCCGGCAAAAGGTCACCTTGCGGGAACGCTGCCTCCCGGCTATTTCAAGACTTCAGGCATCTAACTTCGGCTCAGCCATCATCAACGTAATTATCACAAAAGAACATTTCTCGAGCACGAATCGAAGGACTTGCAGAAATTGGGTTGCGTGAGGTGACAAAGACTAGTAAGCTTCAAGATACATGAAGCGCTGAGATATGCTCAGTAGATAAGAAATTTTTGATCACTCTTTTGACTTGTATCACAGCGTTTTTTTTATTTCACTGTGCAGATCCTTATACTTCTAGCATTCCATTAGTCTCCTCTCGCTCACCGCTTGATTGAGGGCTTTTCTTTGCCAATTAATTTCGTAGAGCATAGTACAAGCACATTTCCTTGGATTCTCGAAGATAGCTAAGCTAGAGCGTTCGTTATTGATCACCGGAGGGTGTTGACAGGGATAAGAGATGATTACTGCGCTGAGTCGCATAGAGCATCACTAATCATTCGATCACAGTCTGTGGAATTTCTCAATTGGAACTCTCCTAAAGAGGGCCTGTGTGTATGGTGTAATTCAGGACATTACAACATGTTTATCCAGAAACCCTTTTCGAAGTATGGTACTGGCAACTTGCAGAAATTATCGAAAGAAGTTATTTGATAAGTGGTCAGTCCCCTTGCGTACCGAAACATAATGCGATGTAGAGCTTCCACAAACATTATGCATAAATGTAACTTCTCAACCAGCATTTTATCACTCACACTTAAACTTGAATGAAGAATAAGTCATTTTCAACTTATCAACGGGTGGTAACTCTATCAACAATGGGTCTGTATAAAAGTAGACCATCCAGTGAGATCACTCCACTTAGCTTACGCTCCATTGAAAATTTTACTCAACCGGACACAGCAGACACATCGGTTTCACGATCGGCTGTCGATTATTATCTTGCGCCATTTATCTCTAAACAAAACGAAGACGTCGGAAATTTAAGTAACAGTTTCTATCCTTTTTCTATCCTGTTTTTTCTGTCAGTTTCTATCCTGTTAACCTCCTTATTTGTTAACAAGCTATATTATTTCGGTTCTTATGTTCATCATTTATCGTACTAATTTCCTTATTATTTTTTTGAACAGAAATAGCCAGCTTTAATACTAGTTATTATTTCAGTTAAAATCGGAAAAAAGCACTGTACAACAAGGAAGAAGAGGGAAAGGCCAATCACTGGGAAATTCATGCCATTATGGGACAGATTTCGAAAGTAATTGCAGCTCCCATCAGCTCCATCAAGTTTAGCTTACTGTGAAATGCATTGGATGAAATAAATGTTTTTGTTTCAAGTGCTTTCTTAAGACTACTGCTCAAATTGTAATATGCCTGATAATTACTATTTGAGCCACGCAAGTCAGTGGTCTATCAATGAGGGCTGACTTATAGAGCCCGATACATGTGTTTCAATCATGCGATCTCGTCAGTCGGGCAATTACCCTTGCTTGTCTTTACGTCTATCGTCTATCTTTCAAAAATTTGAACAGTGGTCATAGGATAACACTCGAAACGAAAGACATGATATTTTGACTATACCAGCCAAGAGCATTCGAGTGTACAACACTCTGTGTTCGTTGAAAATTTCACTGGACATAGAGTGTGAAACGTTCGTCGTCGCTAACTCTTAGTGTGGGGACTGGAGCTCCCACATATATTAGCAAAAGACGAGAAAGGGTAACTGCCCGACTGACGAGATCGCAAGATCGAAACACGTGTATCGGGCCTAATAAGTCAGCCCTCATTGATAGACCACTGACATGCGTGGCTCAAATAGTGACTATCAGAAATAAATTTTGTAGAACTCAGAAATTTTGGGTACAGAATGAACTCTACATCGGAAAAATTGTGTTTTTATATGATGGCGGGTCACATAAATAGAAAATATAAAAAGTTGCTTAGAAAAACGCCTTTGCTACTGAAAATGCTCTTCCCCACCTTCTTACAAGTATGTAAATCGGAGATTTATGAAGAGTGGATCTTAAAAATGGGAAGCAACCTGACAATTTGAGCTTTAGAGCACCGCAACTCGATTTCAGAGTTTATCCACAACAATGAAGACTGGTGCACAGCAGCTTCTTTCTACTAACTTATTTGTTTGCTCTCTATCGACTATATCGCAGAATACACAAACGATAGCTATAACTACCGCTTGCATATTCGGAAGTAATTCGCGAAGCGAAATGCCAAGGATGAACATCCATATTCTTTGGATCAGTGAGACGATCTTCATATTTGCTGAGAGGCAGTGCATGTATGCCTCTTTGCTCCTTTATTTCCTATGTATGGAAATATTTTAGGTGCGAAATTTTATAAAAAGCAACGTTTCATACATCCCTATGTACGATAATCATTTTTTGGGCAAAGCCTCAATTGAGTCTGTATTAATATTCAAGCTCTAAAGCTCCTCATGAGTAAATGCATGCTTTGCAATATCAGTTTCTCAGTAACGATAGTTTTGAAAGATTTATTCTTCCTAATAGCCCTGATTGTTCATTTAAAAGTGAACTAAGCTCAATACTTTCATATCAGAACACATATTCTCGTAGTGGACAAATATATCTTTCCGCATATTCAATAGGGAATTTGTAACATTTGTTGACTGTCGCCCGGCAATCTGCACAGCTCGTTTTCGATTTGTTAATGGTCACGACGATAGTCTCTGAAAACAATTTTCCTTTCTTACTACGTCCATTATACACTTTTTCTGTTATCAGTCTAAGTGCTCTGTTCCTTCAGAGTTTCTACTTGAAAATTTATATTTTGTATGAACTTTAAATAATTCCTCATCAGTAAATATGCCGAAGATCTGCCAAATGAAAACACGACACATTGGTTTTGTTCATCACTTTTTATGAAACATGTAAAACATTGTTTCAAAGAGCTAAATGCAATGTTCTCACATTTCATGCCACTTATATCTTTTGTTTGAATCGTTGTCTTGCAAGTTCCAAGGTAATTGTGGCCAATTCCTTGCACTAAAAATAAGTTGGGTTACATCTTCACTATCCATAGCCTCCTCACACTCAATGCCACACTAAATGCTAGTCAGAAACAGTTCCCGATGGAGGCCTGAACATGATTCTTTCGCTGAACTAATTTTCTGATACTATAGCAATCGCTACAACTACGTGACTAAGAAAGCTCAGGTGGCGCTGTGGTTGGAGGTGTCCCGCGACAACATGCAACCGATAGTTCGACTCCGCGCTCAAGGCTCATCAGGACATTCCATTTTTCCGGAGTCAGTGAAATGGTACCAGACATGTTTCAGAAGAATTAGAACTGACGTGATACATTGGTAGGCTACCGTGAGTCCGCACTGTAAAGACCATATATACATAATTAAATCATTTCAAGCGAAGACAAGAATCGAAAACAGATGCATGTTGCATCCCTGAGCCATTGATCAACATCAAAAACTTCATCTCCTCTAGTGAACGCTGAGTCAGGTATTCGTCGGATGGTACGAAAAAAGGTTGAATCTTCACAACATGCTCTGTTTATTGAATTGAAGAGGTGAATTGAAACATGTTGTGATTACAAAAACACGCAGTCTAAAAGGAGGCAACACTGACAGATAACGTGAAGAGCGGCGGGCTAGTCAGCCACCACCGCGGCATTGGTAATAGAGCCATCTTCATTTTACTATGTTTCCGCATTTGAGCTCAATAGAGCCGTTATTATAAAAGGAATTGCAAACCAAGAGGAACGGAATTGCCTACTTCGACAACTATGCCAAAAAAATTTGTGTTCAACTGAGCCTCCAACAATGATGTTTGTGAAGAGCAGAGTGGATCCTGAGTCCTCCTTCGTGCTTAAAGGAAATGAAGGATGGAGGATAAATTTCTTGGCGTTGATCAATCCCTAAGGGATGCGCCATGCATTCGTTTTCAACTTCTAAGTTCGTTTGAGGTGATTGAATGCATATCTGGCCTTTACAATGACTCGCGGTGGCCTCCCTTTGAATCAGGTCAGTGCTGCTTATCCACCAGACAAGTGTGAGACCAGGCTGGCACCAGTTTGCCGACCACGGAGAGATGGAAGGCTTCGTGAGCCATGAGCGCGAAATCGAACCACTGACCTCGTGTGAGGCGTAGAGCTCCTCTAGCCACTGCGCCACATGCATTTTTGCTTTCCATACTTAATGGAATGAATTTTTTTGCATTCTCCAGCTATGAGCTGCATACACATGCTCATGCATATGCGTGTATTTGCTCATGGAGAGCACTAAACAT